TTAACCAGATTCAGACAAGGATTCAGCAGTCTGATCATAGATAAGACCAGAAACAGACGCGGATCTAAGTCCACGACACTCTAATTAAAATGGTTTATTAACCACAAAGCTTTTCTGTCTGTTATATCAACTTTAAGTCACGTGTTCATGCAAATTTACCTGGTGTTGTCACCGACTGAAAAGTGTTGCAGCTGCCACACATCAGTCCCACACCACCATGCTACAGTGACGCCCAATAAAGTGTCAGGGCTCTCAGGATCCTTGTTGAGTTAGCCTGTGAGGATATTATAAACTCCGACAATCCACTCAGAAACTTGCAAGTCCCTGGAGAACTTTTACACTCGACAAAGCTGTGATGACAGATTTGATAGGTGCGGATTGAAGGGACTGGTTGGTTTCCACAGTATCGCCTTCTTCCCGAGAAGCTGAGAACGTGCGATGTATTATGTGCTGAACTATCTCTTGTGTGTCAATCATTACACAGCAATATATTCTATCCTGCTGTGTAGTCATCTCCTGCTTGATGTTGCTGAAAAAAAAAAAAAAAGAAATAAAAAAGTGCCCTTGCCCTGGATAAAAGCCCCATGATACAGTGGCACAGACAGAAAGGTCACAACACTTAGTGGAAGTGGGACAGCGGTGCTAAATGTATCCGAGTGGTCCAGTGTGACAGTGCAATGAGGAGAAATATGAGTTGGCTTATGAGCTTCTGCAGCTGCTGAGGACAATTAAGTGAAACTATCTCACAGGTATGAAATCCAAAAGTGAAACCTCTCCCTGAATCACACATCAAACTGTTCTAAAGTATCTTCCTTTTCATTCCACATGTGCTTCTTTTCCTCGACCCCCTCTGGCTGATTACTTATTTCAGTGCAACAATCCCTCCACCGTACTTTGCCGCAACTTTCTCTGCATCCACTTTTCTGTTTGAGCCCCCTCTACCCCCTGAGCCTCTGGGTGCAATCAGAAGAGCCATAATGTGCTAGTAGAAGAAAGCCTCCTATCTGGGCTGGAAGAAGAAAACTGAAGAAGGCTGAGGGGACGGAATATGATACTGGTAAAAATGCGCGCTCATGAGAGGCAAGAGAGCGCTAATGAGGGGTGGTGGTAGTGGAGCCGGGCAGGCTAGTTGCATGAGAACTCTGTATTATGGGGTCTAGCAAATGGAGGGAGGGTGGTGGAGGAAGGTGGAGGAGGGTGGCGTCTACCGGCCCTCTTTTTTTTTCCCTCTTCTTTTCAGTGCACACAAGACCAGATGGTATTCTCATTGAAGAAATTATACAGCAAAATGAGAGTGGCAGGGTGTGGTTGTCTCATCAAGCAGACGACACTCACTCATTTGGTTTTATTTCTTACAAGACATAAAACATGACAGAAATTTAACTGTCCTCAGTGAAAAAGATTAAATGCTACACAGACATTCCTCAAGGTCACTTTCCACAAGATTAAATGGTAATTAAAGGACTTTTATCAGCAGCCGATCTGGTCAGCTCACTATCTTACAACAGCTGCTAAAGCAAATACAGTACTGCTCCGGAAGACAAATAGTCCCTTTAGGAGCTCGGCCAATCTATAGTAACAAAGGAAACTGCCATCAGGAGTAAAATGATTCAATGAGCAGAAAACAGATCACACTGTAGCTGTTACGTAGCAGCTCCCTCAGATGCTTAAATTGCAAATTGGTGGGCTAGATAGCAGCAAAGCTTGAAAACTGAATGCCTCAGAGCTCTGGTTAAGTTTGCGGTTCAGTTAATTACAGTCACAGTGTACAGTATGGTTACAAAAGAGACAGATACATTCAGAGCTCAAGCTCCACTAAGAAAGAAGTGAAGCAGCACAGCGGCGCTGAAGTGTAATGGGACTGCGGAGCAGCAGGGCTGGAGATCAGGACACGGTTCTGTGGGTAGATGGCTGTTTTTCTGGATCAAGTCCCAAATGTATAGCGGCTATGAACACAACTGGGCCGAGGTGGGAGAACCTCATCAAACCCTCAACAACCAATTATCCACCTGCTCCCAACAGCTGAGAGCAATTTCATCAAGGCAGGAGAAGTCACATTTAAAAGTCAATCAGCCGGTCACATGGGAGGAGGGTGCTCCTCTGTCTGTCTGCCTGTCCAGGTCCCACTGACATCCTACTGTAGACGCCTCCCACACCAAACCAACAAGCTGAGAAAATTCTCTGTCTGCCTTCGCTGAGACTGTTTATTATACTACATACTTTACACCTTTATTATACTCCAGCGTACGATCCCATTTTGCTCCAAGGATGGAAGGAAGTTTATGATCAAAACACACTCACACACTGCACTCTACTATTGAGTCTAAAGGTAGAAACATCTAATTACAGCTTAAGGGATTAGTCCACTAATGACCAGTAATTATCACCTGCAGAATTTTGAAGATCGATACATAATTTAAGTCATTTTTCAAGCAAAAATAACAAACCTCCTGTGTGAGGATTTGTTTATTTTCTCTGTTTTATATCACTGTGAATGGAATATTTTGGTGGTTTGGAACTGTTGATTTGACAAAACAAGATAACTGAGGACTTCACCTTTGGATCAGTTTGATGCATTTTTTTTCATTATTTTCTGACATTTAATAGCCAAATCAACCAAGTGATTATTTGAAAAAATAATTAGCAGTTTAATCATCAATGAAAATAATTATTAGTAGCTGCCTCTAAACATCAAATGACATCCTTCTCAACTGTTTATGCGTCAAAAGATATCTGGACATCAAAAAGTAAAACCAGGCTAGGTGCAGGTGAAAAGGGAGAGTTATTAAGAGTAAAGCCAGAAAGCATTTGCAAATCTGTCATTTTTCGACCATAAGCCGAGAAAAAAGAAATCCGCTACATTTAAACCTGCATTAAGCAATAATTGGATATTAACACAGGATCAAATGATTTCCAATAATAAGGTTTGCTTGTGCTCCCAATCTCACTGAGAATAAGGATTCAGCTCTCTGCAGCTTTAAGCCGCTTTCAGCCCATTGTTTTGGTTTTGGTTTGTAGGTTCATAAAAAAAAAAAACTGTGGGCAGCTGCTCCCAGCGCAGGAGCTCATACAAAGCAGTTGAAACAGCGTGAAATGGTCGAGAGCTGGAGTCAACACACAGCTGATGAGGAGGGTTGAACAGCTAGGAAGCAGTAAGCCCAGATTCTTTTCTCAAGAGCGGGTCAACCAAACCAGAGATAAAGCACTAGAGATTGGATATGTGGTGAGAAACAGAATCCCAGTGATGCCCACGTTGCTCTGTTTCTGCTGCATGTGTAAGGCGCCGAGTGTTTGCTCACACACTCAAACACAGCCTGATAAGGGATGATATAGTATCAAGGCAGCTTTAAGGATTGCCTCACCAAACACCAGATGAGCCGCATCCATCCACCCAACATGTTCAATCTCCAGTGTAAAAACAAGATTAAAGCAACCGGTTTTAATGATGAGAGAATGCAACAACTGTATTTGGCAGCGATGTCTATGGATCTACAACTGTGGATCTGTAAGACAAGTAATGTGCTGCACACTCCACCAGCTCCCCCCGGAGATGTGTCCTTTCCCCCTTGTCGACTTCTCCTAACCACTACCTGATGACATCTGTAGATGACTCAGTGCTTGCTCCTCTCTGTGCACGCACTCAAAAGTGCATCTGCACAATGACATGGGACTGTCCTCAGTAAATTGAGGGACAATTCATGTCTGCAGCCAAGTGTATCTAAGACCAAGGAGATGAGTGGTTGTCTCTAGGCAGCTCACATCTACAGGGAGACAGTGGAGGTGGTCCAACAATAGAAATAACACAGCAATGTCTTCATCCTCGAGATTCTTTACCATTAAAAAAGAAGAAGAGAAAACAGAACAAACAAGATGAGAGAAAGAGAGAAAGAGAGAGATGCAAGGACTCAGAAGTTGCATGAGCAGCAGCATGACGAGTGACTGTGGCTGACGCACATCGGTAGTAAATGTGGAGGAAAAACTGCAAGCAAACGAGGGATTTATGTTGATACCAGAGCCATTAATGCAAACAATTCATTAGGCTGTCCTCTCTAGAGTAACTAATTAGCAGTTACTGTATTTCATCTGCAGGTCCTCTGCTCATTAAACTCTGAATATACTAAAGCCGAAGCATACACTGAGTCCAACCTATTGATGAATATATAATAGCTCCAGTTTGCTCAGATGCAGTTCACTGGAAGGGTTAAGACTGAGTTTAGTTTGTTTAAAACTACTAAAAAGAACCTGTACACAACAAAAAAAATAGGTGAATATTCACATAACTTATTGATTTGCTCCATATATTATCATTTCCTACTAGATTAAACTACAAAGAACAACCAAATTAACATCTTACATCCTTTGTGTGTTAATAACTTGTTCTAATTATCCAAAATGACCTGTTTAATTGGATCATGAACATCTGCTGCTGCACCACCTCTCATTTCAAGCAACCCACTTATTGTTTAAACTTGGCATGTTGGAGCAGCCTTCCACAGGCATGATGGAGAGAAACTGAAATAGCCAATAAGGTCTTATGGCTTGGTTTGTCACTGTGCTGGAAGTGAGCCTCGTTTGCCATTCATCAGTGCGGCATATATTCTATGTCAGCATGCTGTGGAGGAGGTCGATATTCCGCCAAGGCAAATACATTTACATTTATTTATTGCAAGCCATTACAGGGACCCTGATTCGTGCTTTGGAGAACAGGCTCCTATTTTATTTTCCATCACATGCAGCCTGCAAACCAGTCGAGCTCAGCGGTGCACTGGACTCTCTGCGAGGTGTTAAAATTCAAGTCAAGTATGGAGAGGACAGCGTTTGCCTCTGACACCCAAAAGTAGGGTAAACTGCGCTTTCTGATTGAGGGGTATGGTAGAGAGACACATCACTTATGTGCAGTTGTGAAATCAGGTGGGAAAACTTCCCACCCACCACGTCCAAAAGTGATATTAAGTAGCCAAACTTACTACCCCCCCATGTAGAAAAGGTAGAAAACTTACCACCCCCATGTCCAGCTGCTCGGTAGTCAGGGAAGGAGCCGCTCCAGTCACTGGTAAAAACCACAATATCTGCACCAACAGCAGCATCTCCGGAGAAATATTCCTCATCCACTTGTGAAGAACCAGAGAAACCATGATGCCCTATGACAGGCTGCTCCTGCAGGGCTCAGACACCGACCCCGACAGCCGCATCCACGGGATAAATCACACGCCGACACGCCGGTAAAATTTTGCCCGAGTAAGTCTACCTCACTGTTGAGCGTAAACACATAAAACACATTAAAACCGGTGGCGGAAGGGACGGATTTACAAGTTTGTTTTCCACAAATCGGCACTTGTAACTATCGCCTAAGTGCTCGCAAATTAGGAGAAACAATGTGTGTGTTCTTGCCCTTTATCAAGTCCGTCAGAGGTGATATCCCTGCAGCGAGCAGCGCGAGCTCCTCTCCTGTTCCAGCACTGGGAAATGAAAGCAGCTGCGTGCGGTTTTGTCCCGAACAGCAGCGGCAGCGGCAGCAGCAGAGACCGCGCGTTGACGCACACACACTCAGTGGATGAGTACTTGGCCCGAAGGATTCAGGAAAGAGAAGGGAGGGCGTAGGGAGGGAGGGAGGGAGAAGGGGAGAAGAAGAGGAGGAGGAGGAGGGGTCCAGCGCATTTTCAGCCCACTTGGACACTTTTGAATTGATGACGCGTTCCGTGCGTAATCTGAGAGTCTCAAGGGTTAAGACCAAAGGCATAAAGTACAATTTGTCGTTGCTCTTGTAACGTTATATGAGGAATTTGTCAGCGTTAAGTAGAAATGACTTGCCTTGGAGTGAATCCAGCTTTGAATGAGTAGCCTAGATTTTATTTTAACTTTAACATGTATCCTAACAAAAAAAAAAAAAAAGAGGAAATACAAGAAATACATCTGGATGAATGAATCGTTTAATAAAACAAAAGGAAATGTTTAAGACTTGCTGCAGGCTACTTGTTTGCTTCTGTTCAGTGTAGACCCTAATCTAACAGTTAACCTGATTATGACCCCGATACTGATCACCACCACCATCATCATAAATTCCACTTCTGGTGTTTTTGTGGTTCTGGTGCCAGTGTGGTCCAAAGATGTGAGTCAGTCATTCATTGCCTGATTACAGACTTTAAGGGCCCTGGGGGAAAAATGAGATGTGCCCCCCCCCCCCAACCACAATCTTCTCTCTGTGCACTGTGCATGTATTCTCTGGCTTTAATGAAAACAAACAAATTACAGAATAGGCATCATGTGAGCACAATATAAACAAGTTATTAAGACTAATCCCTCAAACTATCATCCTGACGTTGGTGATCCCTTCACCTTTCCTCTAGCTCCAACATGAGGTTGATACTTGTGGTTTTGAGTGAAATATCTATACTACTAATGAATGGATTGCAATAAAAATTTGGTTTACATATTTGTGAACCCCTCAGGGTGAAGTGTAATAACTTTGGTGATCCATCATCAGGTCAAACTTTCAATGTATCCCATACTTTGGCTTATGACTAAATACCATCTAAACCGATAACATTCCTTTGAATGTTCTTTGTGCCAGTTAGCATATGTTAGATTTTAGCATGTTAACATGATAAACTCCGATGGTGAACATTTTACCTGTTTAACACTATTATAGGTGTCTGTGGCTCAAGAGGTAGACTTTCACTAATCACAGCATTGGCATTGCAGTCCCCAGCTCCCTTTGTCCACATGGCAGTGTCCTTGAGAGAGAAACTGAATCCCAAATTGCTCCTGATGGTCAGGCCAACTCTTTGTGTGTGTGAATGGGTGAATGAGACACAAATTATAAAGTCCTTTTATCAATACAACCATTTACCATTTGTCAGCATCCTCACATAAGCTTTCTGTGTCTGCACACCGCTGTGCCAAAGCACAGCCTCACAGTACCACTAGCACGGCTGTAGACTCTTGTTGATGTGTCGCGAGAGTGTAGGGTAAGGGGAAGAATGTAGTAAGAGGGGCCAACATCGCCACCTGGGGAATCACACCCCAGGGTATACCATTTCTAAGTCTTAGTTGTTTGTTAAATGGATATCAGGACACAGGCTCCATAACTGATGATATGTGTTGTTGAATTCAACAAAATATTTTATTAGAAACAAAATATCAGACTGCAGGGACTGAAGCTGCTGAAAAGGAGAGCTATATTAAAGGCAAATGAGAATCAAAACAAGCGTAAGGAATAAAACTATTTTATTCAATACATAGATTTCTTAAAAAGGTAGAGTACAAGATCTTAAAATTACAAAAAAAAGATCACCAATACTAAAATACCTAAAACCAGTCCAACATAAACTTAAGCAAAATAAGAAAAAAGAAAAAAGAAAAGTGAGCTGAGGCCACTGGTGGAGAGGCAGACTACTGAGGAGTGCTACAACTCACTCATCTCAGGTGCAGCACAGCAAACCTCACCGCAAACAGGATCCAAAAATACATGTGTCCCAGTGCTCTTGCTCGCATGCATAAAGTGTGGGGGACCTCACCCAGGGTGGCTAGCCTCCCAACCTGGCAGAGTTCAGCTACACTGCTAAAGAAAAGCTAATGAGAAAGCAATTACTCACAAGTAAATAAGCAACTAGACTACTAAACAACAGAAGAATTAACAAACAAACAAGGAACAAGCAAAATAAACCAGGCAAAACAACAGCAGGTCAATCACCTCTGGTATGGGGCATAAATGGTCCACTATGGATGAGGAGGCACCGCTGAGCTAACGCTACCAGCCACAATTGACAGGAACCAGCAAGAGACTAAAAGCAGCCAGCAGGTGCTCTTTATAACCATGGCTGGGGGAGGAGTCATCGCAGGGCTTTGTTCACAGGCCCTACACTACCTGAAAGCGTTCACCACTACATTCACATTGGGCCCTTCTTCAAGACAGTGCCTCAAGATTATGTAATAACATTGGATCCACGTTAAAGGGCCTTGTTATCACAAATTTAGAATTAATCAAATAGCCAGTAACCATACACACAACAAACTTTAGTCCTGTCCGGAATCCTGGAACAATTGCCTGCTTCGACACATCGGTATTCTTAAATTTCACAGTGTTTTTCATATTCTCTGTGTCCCTTCTTATTCATTGTAAATTGCCCACACAGCAGTAAAATGGAGAAGAGACACAGCTGTAATATCAAAGAGGACATTCAATCTGAAAGCACAATCATGTAAAATCTTCACGTGGCCAGTGGTAAATGAATTTAAAGCGATTGGATCCAGCTTGAGTTGTAATCAGCCCATATTCAGAGCGATATTCAAATGTAAAGGCATTATTTTTACACCGCAGAACATCACCACCACAAATATATATACCATAAGCATTCGTTATTAAATATCCCTATATGGAATTTTAAAACAGAGCATTCTCACTATGGTTGAGGAGGTGGGTCTTTAATAATTGTCTGATATTCTGCCCTGGTCCGAGCTGAGACATGGTTTTAAGAGTCACGACTAGAAAGGATGGAGCAACAGCGATGTGAAGAGGTGAGGAAAGAGGGAGCAAGTCATTTTTCAGTCTTGAAACTCTGACTGCAGCCTCCAGTGAACTGACTGTCTTGGTTGCTCTTTCACTGCATCACCAATGAGAAATCTCAAGCTAAAGCACAACAAAAGGTCATTCAATTATTTTTTTCCCCCCAAACCTCGGTTAATCACTATCACACATACATACTTTATCATCCTCCTGCCCTCTGAGAGCATGTAAAGATGTCAATCAAAACCGTTTCAAGGAAAGCAAATATTACCACTACTAATACTAATGATGCCGTACTAATAATACAGACCTTCAACTGAAATATAGGCGGTGAGAATTCAAAGAGTTAAATTACACCCAATTAAATGTACAAATCAGCAGAAGCTAGGTCACTGAAGTAGAAAAACTGCGTATGTCTCTGAAATGCAAAGATGTTTTATTTTGTACCCCTCATTACATTTCTATTTTCACCATATTTGAGGAAACATCAGAGGAAAACACAAAACAATTTGCTGAGCTGCAGAGATAATTATGACATGAGGCAGTGGTATCATCCAGCTTCTTGTGACAAAAAACTAATGTACTTATTTTGTGTATGTGTGTGTGTTGTATAATATTACAAATCCACCTGCGATGCAATGAAGGAGCATACTGCTATGACTAACAATCACTGAGAGCTACATGCAGCATGCAAACCATGTGACTGATCGCTTGATGTGCCATTAAAAGAAAGACTTGAATTCACCACTGCTCCCCTTCTCGATAAAAAACAGACACACATGCGCAGATACACACACTCTTCCCACTTCTTATTCCGATCCATTACAGCAGTCATTCATCACGGGTCCAGAGGAGAAAGACATGAAAAATATGTCTTTTGCTCAGCAGCATTAAGTTCTGCTGAGGGCTGAAAACTTCTCAACTCTACTGCTTCCAGTCCCAGTCGGACTTGTCATCGCCACAATATTATGATAATTGTCGCATCTGAATATTGTGTCCCACAGCATGTCTTCCGGCAAAAAGAAGCTTCAGTCATTCAGTTTTATATTAACACAAGGTTAAAACAGCCATTTACTCATCTCAGACTGCTGTGCACATTTCACCTGAAGTGTTTCCACATCGTCAGACTGTTTCCCAGAGAAATTTAGCTCATTTTCTTTGGTCAGATAGTATAATTATAGGAAAACCCATTGCCGACTGTGGACGTGAACAGAATTGAGTTTGCATCCTGCTACTGTAACACATGCAGTGTAATATTTGTTGTAATGTACTGTATGATGCCAGGTTGGCTGCAGACCTCTTGCACTGCTGAGGATAAATGAATCTAAATGGATCCGGTCAAATCTCTTCCTCTTCCATCGAAGTGAGTGCCGTGACTGTTTTTGTGTTGCTTGTAGTGAGATGTTGTTTGAATATGGAGACAGTGTTTGATAGTTGCTAATAACATATTGAATGCATTCTTATGTCAAATCAACACAAATGAATCTCTTTCCCTTTTATGTTATGTGTGTGTGTGTGTGTGTGTGTGTGTGTGTGTGTGTGTGTGTGTGTGTGTGTTTGATGAATGAAGAAGAAGCCCCTGTGGAATAAGAATGCAGCCTCAGAATAGGGATGATTGAACACCTTGTCATAGTAAAGTTAAATAGGCACATAGATAAAACTCCATATAGCACTTTGAGAATAGGAGCAAGATTAATGTGGAAGGTTACTTCAATCAAAGGACGTTCCTTTCAACTCCAAACATGTATACAGCAAAGAGACTCTCTGTGGTGCT